ATCAGATTTCTCAGCTAGAAACCCATTTATTTCGCAAATTTTTGACAAAAATAACCCAAAAAAATCACGTAATTCGGCCAAAGATAGTGTTATTTTTGCGTTTTTGGAGTATTTTTTAAATAAAATTTGTTTTTAGATCAAATCACAGTGTGAAACGGTAAAATTATTCAAAATTCGTGGTGTTTTTAGTTGCAAAAATTTTGTATTTTATAATGCTAAACAGACAACTTCTCAAAAAAAAATCGAATTGACTGATTTTTTTTGTAGAAACAAGACAACTTCGGAGAATTGCAAACCTACCGCTTGATGACTTCGGTTTCCCTTCCAGTATACGACAAGAAGCCTCGCGCGGTGAGTAAATTTCACATTTGTGAAACAAAAAAATCGTAAATTCGTTGGAACCGTGTATGAATCTTGTAATGTCTACAGAATATCACCGAAAAAATTCAAATCAACGAAGCCATTTGGATAAGTATAACACGCGAGGTAACCGAGGTTTTTCCTATACTCTTACTGTTTATTAGACTCGAATAGGATTGTGGCAGGATTTTAGAAGGTTTTAGGTGCCAGCGCCTTTTTACGTAGAATTAGCCCCAGATGTGTAACAAAATCACCGTAGTGTCTAACCTAGTCTAGATTAGAATTTTTTAGAAATGCTAAAACGTAGCACTAGTCAATTTTTCCTCAAGTAAATGAATGAAAAAAATTGCTGATTTTTCCAGGAACGCGTCGCTAACCTTCTCGGAGTCGCCGGAACGGACATTCCCATCGAGTACATCGAGGCCCTAATGTTGCCCTATCGAGTAAACCCCAATTTCCACCCTTGAAACTTAACTAATCGAAATTTTCAGCTCGGTGTCAACGGTTACGCTTTTATTGTCACAAATAACGGCTACATACTCACCCATCCGGACCTACGCCCTGTGGTAAGCCCTTCACAAGCAACTAGATTTATGCTCAAAATTTTGTAAACAGTTCCAAGGGATCCTGAAACCGGCCTATAACCGAGTCGACATGACCGAAGTCGAGGTCATGAACGACGACAGCGACCCCCGGAATTTCAGCGATCAAATTCTGGAATTCCGGCGTCGAGTCGTCATGCAAGAAAAGGGTGACATAACTTTACAGGTCAAGAGCCACATTGACGAAATGGTGGGTTGATTCGCCCCAAGGCTCTCCTCGCGACCCCTTTTTTTTCTAATTTCTAGAGACGACTAGTGACCGGCACACGTCACTATTTCTACATGGGGGTCAACAATACCCCTTTTAGTCTTGTGATAGCACTTCCGACCAAATATGGGTTTAATAAAGTCGAGCATCCGGTGGAAAATGATATACACCGGATGAGGTCCAATGATAAGATTGATAAGAGTGAAGGGTGGCTCACGCAGTTTTTTACGGGGAATTGGACCCTACATCCAGACTGGTACTGTTTTTTGCACCTATTGGAGGTTTTTGATTGGTTGTTTTAGGCATTATTGCCGGTATTTGGATAATCGCTACGAATTTGAGACGCCAGAGGAGGAGTTTTTGCACTTTTTGAGGAAAATTGAAGGGACCAAATGGAAATGGGTCGAGTGTAAGTTGAATTAAAAAAAAAACTTCTCATCAGAAAATATCAAATTAAATGCGATAAAAAAACTTCTAACATAACATTGCGTAATTAAAAAAAAGTACATGGATTTATTAAAAAATTCTGAATAAATTTTAAAATTGTTTTCAAAAAAAAAATATGTACTTACCAGATTTTTTTAGAAAATCCATTAATCTCCGGTTTTTGGTTTTTCTTTCTCTTTAGCCTGTTCCTCTTCGTTTTCTATAAAAAAATTAAAAATAATAAATTATTAATTTTTTTCAAGTGCAAAAGCAGGTTTTTGAGCTTTAAAACATAGTTTTCTAATGCGATGTGATTAAATCGGATAAAAAACCACCAACTACTTAGGTTAAAAATTACATTATTTTTGCTTTTATCCAGAGTTCTATCACGTTTTTTAGCTAGAAAAGCAATAATTCCCCATTCTTATTATTATTTTTGTCATTAATACCAAAGATAATACTATTAAATAGGAAGACCAAAATTTTGTAAATAATAACACAATTTTTGAAACAATTAATTTTTTATCTTCAGGTGATCGTGGCCTTATAGTCAAGGTCGTTGCCGACGCGAAAATCACCTCCTGGTTCAGCGAAAACATCACAAATTCGAACAGCAGTAAAGAAGAGAACGGGTAAGAATCACTTTTTTGCACTTGTTCACTAAAACTCATTAACGCACTCTAATTTATTTTTCCTAAGACCCATAGCTATGTTGATGGCTTTAATACCAAGGTACGGTACAACTCGAAGCCTTTGTATTAAAATTCTAGGTGTGCTGCCAGGACGTTTTTTTTTTTCTTACAGCAGGAACCAAAAGCTTGTAGTGTTCGACTTTACAATTTTTTTCGTGTATTTGTGTGCAGGGATAAATTCATCCGTCGGTTTGGCATCACTGTGGCATTCCTCTCGACTCATAGTGGCCTTACTCGATGGCAGGACTTCCCCCAAAATGTGGACGCAATAGCGAAAGAAGAACCGTAAGTTGGGACCATGAACTGGCCACTTAGACCAAAAGTAGGACTTTTAGACACTTTCACATGCTCCACAACAAGGCCATAGACGAGATTTGGTACCGAAGAGCCGTCGAGTACCATTATGTGGATCCGACAGCTTACATATATTCAGTACCGTTTGATATCGGGGCGGAAAATAACACTTTACTAACCGTAAGTCACGCGATTTTCCGTGAAGACGGCGGTAAAAAGGCACCAGCGGCTGTCATCGGGTACCAATCGTACCATTCGGCCTTGTACGCCCTGTTCCGTAACATTACAACCAGTGTGAGTACCAAAAGAGAAATTCCAAGCAAAACGATCGCTTTACAATGTTTGGGCGAAATTATTTAGCAAAATTTTATCAAAGATGAGGTAAAAATAAGGTCCAAATTTAGTAAGTTTTTGAGCAAAAACTCATTTTTGTGAGATTTCGCAAAAAAAATCAAACATGACATTATTTTTGTCGTTTTCGAGAGTTTTTATACGTTGTTTAGATATAAATACAAAATTTGACCAAAAACGAAGGGTTTTTGACTTTTTTCCACCGTTTAAATAACGTTTTTAGACAAAAAACTCAGTTTCTTCATGAGTTTCCGCCTAAACGACCATAAAAGTTACTAAATTATTTTTTAATTAATATAATTTTCACCAATTTTCAAACGTTTTTCGGTCAGAAACGCAATTTCGTTACTAAAATTGGTCAAAAACGCTAGGTTTTTGGCCTATTTCGAGCGTTTAAGTACGTATAAAAAAACTCATTTTTCGCGAGTTTTCTACAATAAGTTCTACAATAACATCATTTTTACATTATTTCAAGCGTTTTACTAAGTTTTTCAGCCAGAAATGCAATTACTCACCAAAATTTCGTCAAAAACAAGCCAAAAAATTACTAAGTTAAGACTAAAAGGGTATTTTTTACTCTAAGAGAGCTGAAACTCAATTTTTTCGCAAAATTTTGCCAAACCAAAACAAAAAATAACTAAATTAAGTCGAAAATAATATTGTTTGTAGATTTTATGAGCGTTTTTTTAGCCAAAAAATCAATTGTTGAAAAAAATTCATCAAAATTAAGTCACATTAAAAATGGAACAATTTTTGCAGTTTTCAAACATTGTTGTATGGTTTTCAAACAAAAACGCAATTATGTCGCAAATTTTTTTCAAGAAAATGGTGATACTTTAATTTATTCGAGCGTTTTAGCACATTTTTCATCCAGAAATTCAATTATTAGCCAAATAATCACTAAATTAGGTCAAAATTGACATTATCTTTGCCTTATTTAAACGTTTAATCACGTTTTTGTCCAAAAACTCACTTATTTTGCAAAATTTCATCAACAAAAATCCTAAAATCACCAAATTAGATGGAAATTGACATTATTATTTAAACTGTCTCTCTAGTTTTTAATCAGATTTTGTCAAAATAAGCCGACAAGTCACCAAATTGCATCGAAATTGACGTTATCCCATAGAAAACTGTATGTAATTGCTTATTATTATTTATTTAAACAACCAATTTGACATTTATTCGTTAATAACATTTCTTTAAAACATATTGTTTGTGACATTTTTTCTAATAAAATATTTGGTATTGCATAGCCCTGTTTTTTTTCTAAAACACAGTTTTAAAACTTTTAAAAATCGTGAAATTTTAAATACGTTTTTATACGAAACTGTAAGACTTAGAGCAAAAAGCTGAAAACCATAAAAATTTGCTTGAAATTATCCATCTAATGGCGCAAACCGGAAGGGTTATGGTTCTGGGTACAGAGCCATTTTTAGTTTTTTTTATAAAAAATTCACACCTCAAAAACGGTTTGTACAAGCGTGTTCTCCGGTTAATTTTACATAYAGAACTAGTTTTTCATAAGAATCAAAAATTTTTGATTTTTTGGTCAAAATCGGATGCGTCTAGCCTTATTATTATCTTTGTTACTCAATATCTCAAAAACTATGCATCGTAGAGTATTTTAACTTGTTGCATCGTGTTCAACGCGTAATCTAGAAAACCAAGCGTTTTTGCGACTTAAGGTAAATTGACTATTTTTACGATTTTGCCACCTTCAAAAACTCCAAAAAATTCGTAATTTTTTAATTTAGACCCAATAACTTTAATGCACTTTTTTGAGTTTTTAGGACCTCTAGAACGTTATATGGATCAATTTTAAAATTGAATTTTTTTTTAAATTTTTGTCGATTTTTAGTACCCGGAGCGGTCTAATGCCAATAACTCCGGACTTATTAGTGATAACCTATTATGTTTGGTACCGTTGGAAAGAAAATTTGATTTTCTATTATAAACAAAAAACGATCAGTGTTCTACAATAAATAGTTATCGGCAAAATTTCTGATAAAGTCAAAAATATTGACTATAACTTTAAAACTATTACGAATATTGCAATTTTCTTGACGCCAATCGATTAAAAGTGATCGTTTTGGCATGGAATTACCGATTTAACTCTCGGGCGGAAATGAATGTTTTTCCTCCCAGTGTGGCGATATTCCATGCAAACGAACTTGCGAAACTGACGAACTCGATTGTTTCTTATTGGACGACAATGGATACATTATTGTCAGTGACGACTTGACCCACACTGGTTTTTTCTTTGGAAAAGTACGACCCGACATTATGAGTTTTCTGGTCGAGGAAGGGATTTACAAAGTGACTCGAATGTACGACTACCAAGGACTCTGTCCCGAAGAACAAGAAAGCAATAATCCAGCTTCGAGTTTCTCAACGGTGAGTGAAAATTTTGTTAATTTTTGGACACTTATTCCTTCCCTTCCAACTAGCCCTTCATGACGTACTTTTTCCACTGGATTTTCACCCTTCTGACACCAATACTGACACTCAGCACTGAAGACATATACACACTGTACCACCAATCGATTAAAGAACATTTGATGTACTCCCCGTGCGATTTTAAATTTTTTTCGTACAGTTTAAACCGGACTTGGAAGTACCAAACATTGTCTGATTGGTAATTCGCTACAATTTCCACCAATCAAATTTAATTTTTTCACCCCGAAGGGACATTTCCGTGTCAATTGTCGACAAAAGCAATCTGGTACTGTTAATTTTTGATTATAATGTCAGCTACGAGAACGTCAATACGACTTTGGCGGACTTCACGCAAATAAAGTACAACACAAGATGGGAATGTAAAGTCGAGGAAAGTCAGTTTGTGCGAAAAATGTACCAGTCGTGTTACAAAAAAGTCGAAATTAATGTAATTTGAAGGAGTTTTGACTTCTTGAAGTGATGTGAGAGTTTCAGGAGAGCGAAATTGCGACTTGTGGGAATGGTTCCGTCCAGTTTGGGGTCCCTCTTTTGCTCCTCTCGCTTCTTATTTACGACTTTTAAATCAAGCAGTTTTAAAAAATATTAGAAAATTACAAATAATAATGAATTAGAAATCAGATTTAACAAGAATTAACCTGAATAACAAAAATTATTAAAAAAAATTTTTTTTTTAATTTAACAATAATAAAAATTAAAAATAAATAAAAAAAAGTGAAATGCACCTCCATAAATGAAGAATTTGAAAAATTGAAATTATAATGTGAAAAAAATTTGCTAAATTTTTAACTTTCAATAATTGAAAGAACATTTAAAATAATGACATTTACAGACAAGGAACTCTAAAAAATGTAATTTTAAGATTAAAAATGTCCAAACAATGAGTGAAAACAAATTAAGAGTTTTTTTTAAGTAATGAAAAACCTGACCATAAATTTTTACTTCAAAATTATTCGAAAAAAAATTGTTAACAAAGTTAATAATAATAATAATAATTCTTCTCTAAAACAAAAAAAAGCTTCAAAATTTTGAAAAAAATACTTACAAAACACCTTAAAAAATGAAATAGGCACTATTTGCTGCTGATTTTAATGTAATAAGTTGACTTTTTAACTATTTTTACCTTCAAAATTTGCGCAAAACTTTGTAGTTAAATGACAATTTTGCTCTAAATTGGGGAACAAAAACCAAATCTAATTAATTTAGTGACAAAAATCATCCAAACAATGTGACAAAAAAATGATACAATATTTGTTGTCGTTTACTTCAAAGTTATTAAAAAAAAAAAGAATAGGAAAGAAGTAAGAAAAAACAAAATTAAGGAGTAAAAATATTTGCAATAACTCATAAGTCCAAATTCGGCAAACTTAAGTAATAAATTTAAAAAAAAAACGACTCCTAAAATAACGAAAAAAGTAAAACATAAATAACAAATAAAAACAAAAAAACTAAAATTACAAGGTTGAATTTAATACTTGTAATAATAAATACTATTGCCCTCTAAAATAAAAAAATCACCAAACAACAAGTCTAAAT